GGGAATCTCTTAAGATATATCCAGGTTTTATATGTTTTGATACCTGAAAGCCTATGGCTGATTTAGTGCTAAGAATAAAACTTCATTTGTTCTGCTGAAGTGCATTGTTAGCAAGTGATGCATTCTTCTTCACTCAAGGATTCTTGCACTTCTGTGATGTAAATGGGCTTTGTGGATGAAGAACAGCGACTTTGGTTCACAATATCCTTGTATAAAGAGGAATTGATACCAAAACTGCTGTGTCTAGCAAGGGGAAATGCAGTCATTTTTCTTTGGCATTTTCCCAAACCTGACAAGTCACGACAAACAGTTTTCTGTGGCTGCGTGATGGCAGTCTGGAGGGACCAGCCATCCTTCACATCTTTACTAACTCCGAGTTCCCAAGGAGTCTTTCATCAGAGAAACTGTACAGCAGGGGAAGAAAATGAAAAATCCTTGCAATCCCTCCTTTGGAAAAGTGAAGGCCGCAGAATAGATTGCACCTAGAGCATGGATTGTTTTGTATGGACATACTCATACTGTGGCTCCCATGACTGCTTGGGGTTGCCGCCAGTTGAAAGCCACAGGCTCTGCCAGGGGCACCTCCCCTCAGTGACTGCAGGTCACTGCAGCGGTCAAGTCCTTGGGAGATAAGTATTTGCCATACATCCAAAGGCAATAAAAGAGATCGTAAAATAAAAATGCTTTTAGTAAAATAGAATTCAAGGAGCAAAATCTTTTCTTCAGCTATTTCCTGCTCATTTATTGGCCTCAACTTGCTCAGCCAGCCCACACAGCCTAAACGGGGCAGAATTTGGTCTACTTTACTTATTCAGGCTCCCTCATTAAAAACACACACACTGGAGGAAACTCATGTCTGTGTATATGGGAAGAGCCACACAGCTCCTCCCACACCTGCTGTGTCATAGAATCATAGAATGGCCTGGATTGAAAAGGACCACAATGATCATCCATTTCAACCCCCTGCTCTGTGCAGGGTTGCCAACCACCAGACCAGGCTGCCCAGAGCCACATCCAGCCTGGCCTTGAATGCCTCCAGGGATGGGGCATCCACAACCTCCTTGGGCAACCTGGTCCAGTGCATCACAACTTGCTGAGGTCCCAGGAGCACCTCTCAGTGCAGCACCCTGGTGCCTCCATCCGCACTGAGGTATGCTGCCCTTGTGTTCTAAGAACCAAAGACATCTCCAGGAGGCGAAGGAAGAGAGTGGGCTACAAGGGGCTTCACCTCACAAGGTTTTCTACATGGCCAGCATGGACTGGGGAGTGCCTCTTTCTTGTTCTTTTTATTTGGATCTTTCAGAAGCTGCTATTTGTTATTTTGATGCGAAACAATTGTTTGTCTCTGTAACTATAATGCTGAAAAACACACATTAATAGTCATGTCATGTAACTTGTGCAGTCTGTCGAATACATTTAGCATATAAATACGGTGCAAAAAGAGATATTTCACTACCAAAAATACAGAAATACAGTGTCTTTTTACCTCAGTCAGTGTATACACAGCATAATACTGATGGATTGGGACCTCTTGTGTTAAATACAATGGCAAGACTGTTGTCAATGTTTGCTAGATATTTAGACAACCTCTAAAATCAAAAAGAAAGCTTATCCTCAGCTACACTGCTGAAGTCAGTGAGAACTTCTGTTGCATTATGCAGCACACTGTGAAATAGGAAATCTTCTGTGCCAGCGATGCTGATCTCAGTTCTCCACAACAGTGAGTCTCATGCTGGTGCCACTAGTGAGATTACCTGTAGGTGATATAGCTGGGAAAGATTATTCCTGCTCATTTTTTGAGCAGCCCTTCAGTAGTTTAGCATTGTTTTAGCAAGCTAAGAAACACAGCATGGGCAGCATCTCTGGGCTCAGCCCTCCTGGTCATCCACCAGCATGGTGCTCCCACAGCCAGAGGCTTGGAGTGCAGGTGGCCAGGCTTGGTGTAGGATCCCAGAAAGCATCAAGCTGCTTCAGGAAAGCTGTTTCTGCCCCACAGCCCTCCCCCATCTCTTCTGCTTTGGGAGGACAATGGGGTTGTACTCCACTCTAAGTCTATATATGCATATATATCACATATTCCTATATATAATTATATATAAGTACAAAAGTTCGCTGCTTTGTTGCTTTCCCCGGTGACATGATTACATTTAGTTAAAAAAGAGAGAGGTGATTTTATTCTCCTCATAAAGATTGATTAGTGCACTCAGAATTTTATCCCTAATTTAGTTTTAAATCTGCACTCCCCATTTCCATAATTTCTATTTTGTTTTTTAAATAAAAAACCAACATGGGACAAGCATCTGAATTGTAGGAGCAAGTCTGGATTAAAACACACCCCTTTCAGTCTGACATTCTGAATCAACAGCAGGTCAATGTGAGGTGCAAATTTCATGGAGAAATGCTCATCCTTGGGATGCACAGATTGGAGGTTTAACACTTTTGTGTTGGTGGAGAGAAATACAGATGAGGGAAAGAGCTGTATTCCCTTGAATGCATTTATGCAAACTAAAATCTCCACACTTAGATATCCTGCACTGGATCTCAAGCACTGAAGGGGCTGCACGTCGGAATCACATGAAGCAACCTCCATCCATTACTGCTCAAAGCCAAATTTACTCACAGTGAGAGGAAAGGAAAGGAACCAGATTCTTAAAAGCAGTGTAGACATCTTTTGGGATTTTCCTTCCTTTTTTTTTTTTTATCTTTTTTTTTTCTTTTAACCATAGGTTTGTGTGATCCAGACATCAGATTATGAAGAAAATCTTGGCATATAATGAGAGCTGAGCACCTTCCTGCCCCAGTAAGAGCTCGGTGCTTACCTCTGCTGTTAGGAAATCACAGAAAATCAGTGTGGACAGGAGGCTGCCAGGCCACCTGCACGGTCCCTCTGCCTACACCATCTCTGCACTATCTGTACCTATCTGTGTTTCATACAGTCTCATACAGCACCCCAGTTAGTCATCTTACCGCAGTGCTCTCTTTTCTGAAGCACTGTGTCACGCTAAGCAATGATAATGTTCATGCCATTTGATTTTACTGGATAGAGCAACCATCCTGAGAGGAACATAGTGAATGTATGGGAACTACTGAATCTGAACATCTGAACCTCTGATCACCTGAGGTGAGCACTGAGTCAGCCATGGGAGCACAGGTGAAGGCAATTCATCTGTGCTGCCCAAAGAGGTGGAGCCTGGCTGCACCTCTCCTAGACCCATTTAAGGGCTGACTACCAGTAGGGAAGGATCTCTTCAGGAGATCCCTCTTCCGGAGTTTTGCAGTGAGCCTGGGATGTGGGTAAGCATTCTAAGCATTCTATCTATTCCCTTTTTGTTATTATAATCTGCTTTGTAAAACTCTCTTGTTTATTTCATAATTATAGCATCTCTATATTCATTGATTATACGAAGGTGCTGTAATTAGCACAGGCACCAAAACCAGGAGTTGTTCAGAGGGCCATAACTCTGGCACTTTCCTGAGTCTTAGGGCTGCCTGGGGTGTGAATTTCACTGGGTAGTTGTATGTAGAGCTGATTGTGTGCTTTCTCCTGAGGTGATGCGTTCCTTTAACTGGAGGTCTGGCATCCTCTCACTGCTGCCTGATGACATTTCCTTTTTAGGACACATGCTTTTTTTGTGCCAAGTCCCTCTGAAAAGGGTGTTTCTGCAGCAAGCACAACAGCAAAGGCCCAGCTGCCCCAGGAAAGCATAATTCTGCTTGCTGCTACCATTAGCTGAAAAGTCTCCCACTTTTTCCATATAGCTAAGACTAAATGTCCAAGCAACATGGCCATGAGCTGTGATGCTTATGCTGCACAGACTTACTGGCCTGGGATCACACTGCTCCAATGCAAATGAGTTTGAGGTCACAAACGCTTCTATTTCTGAGCAGTAATTGAATAACTATGCATATGTAGCTTCAAGAGGACACATCTGACTTTTAAAATTCAAAGCACTGGAAATGCAGAGTCTTTCATGCTGTTAGCATTTACGATTTGCATCTTTGAAAAATGGCTTCAATTTGGTATGTTAAGGCTGGCAATGGACGGAGGAGGATTTGGGAAAGAGGATGAAATTCACCTGCTTGTTATGGGTAGTGTCAAACCAAGACAGAGTTATGTTGCTAAGTTATAAATACATCAGCACTTAGCAGTGGAAATGCTTTCAGACTCGTATACAGAAAATTGTCCTGCCTTTGTTGCTCTTTTATTTCAGCTAAAACACATTTGTTAAGCAAATCAAAGTAGAAAAAAAACAGCAGGGCACACTTTAGGCATCCCATTTCTTTCATGCTGATTCTGAACCTAATAAATAACAAGCATCATCTTCCTGATAGATTCAGTTGTTCAAACAGAGAAACTGCACAAACCTTTCTTCCAGAGCAAATGTTCATTCAACTGAGTTTTCACATGTTGGGTGCAGTGTCAGAGAGAAAACAGACACAGCAGTGTTGCCCAGCGTAAAGCTGTTTTTCCTCTGAAAATATACCTCAAATCCACTGGTCCAAGCACTGCTCCCTTCCAAATTTCTGCTACATTAATACTTATTCATTTCTGCTGTTCTGGTGAAGGTATTAGTGACAGGACTCCCTACTGCCGAGACACTGTAATTATTCAGGCCATACCAGAGCTCCCAGTATTACTGTCATTAGTGTATGGTGCTTTTTGTAAAACAAGAAGTGAAATTTACCTTGCATGTGCATTGATGACTTCTCAGGCTACTTCTGAGATGAAGAAAGTAGCATTTTCAGTGGGGAAAAAAGTTTGGATTTGAAATTTATCCCAGGATGATTCCAACAAGAAACTCAGTGCATGTGGAACACTGAATCTTCAGTGGCTGCAAGCAGCTGTCACTCCACTGAAACCAGCACTGCCACAAAGACCCACATAGCCATGCAGCGTGTCCGCCCCCTGAGACTAAAAAGTAAATCTTAAAACCCCAGATCCTAAATTTGGCATTTCAGAGCATTCTACTGAATAGAGCAAGAAAAAATGACTAGTAAATGAAAAAAAAAAAACAAACACCCAACCAGTATAATAGGAAAGCATTTCAATTTTGTACATACACAGCTTTTACTTTTGTGTACATGATCATTATTAAACTCTCTGCGTTATGTACATTTCTTTCACAATCAGCTCATCTGTGCGTTCAGACACTAACATTGCCTTCTGGAGCTCTCCTGGGAAACATGGTGTGCCTCAAACCATTCAGAAACACAGCATCCACAGCAGAGCCACTTTGTGATTACATTTTTCTCTTTCTACTGTTCACTGGTAGAAAGAGCAATATGTGGAATACTGATTAAAAAAATAATTGCCTTTATGTTCTTTAAGTCTGAAGAATAAGCGTAGCTTGAATGAATACACAGGGCTCTATTTTCTTGCAGCTGTTCCATTAGATCAACCATGTGATGAACTGCACATACTGCTTGTTCCCAAGATCTTGTTCTGTGGCTGCAGCATTGAGGAGGAAGCTCTGGTTTCCCTCCTGTGTGTGAGGACATGGTTCCAGTTCATAGGCTCTGTGCAGCTCAAGTAGGTGGACACATTCAGCAGATCTCCACTTAAAATTTGCAGATGAATACTGAAAGGTCTAGATGTTCCAGTGAGGGAAAGTCTGAGCCTTTAAAACTACGAATGAATTTACTTTGAGCTCAGCCACTTCATTGCAACTTTTCTCCCTTTACTATATCTGACAAGATATGGAATTAAGGCTATTCTAACCTATTTTAATATTTGATATTTTAAGTGCCCTAGGCAATGCTAAGCAGAAAGAACATTATGGATTGAATCACAGCAAGAATGTGAAGGAAAAAAATTTTACATCAATGAAGGAAATCCTACATGAATACAACTGTAGTTTAAGAGATGGCATGCTGTCTTGTTCTGTTCACCTGCCACATAAGGCAGCACTTTTGCAGCACCTACCTCAGAGTTGGCATTCAGACACTTGAAATGCACAAGTGCCTCCTGCATGACTGCATACATCTTGCAGAGTGGGCTGGGCTGGAAGCATCAGACATAAATGATTAGCAGAGAAAACAAAGGAGTACCAATAACTTCCCAACTTCCTTCAAACTAAAGATTGTGATGAGTACTGTGTTAGCCTTTGGAATAAATATCTCATGCACATCTAAACAAAAGGCAAAGGAGTGGGAGATCTTCAGGAGAGTTTGCCAAAGATGCAAAAAGGAATGGTATTGTATTCATTAAACACTGTATGGATAAAATGTTGGAGGAGTCACAGCCTTGCTAAACTTCCTTGGCGCTGTCCTTGCTGCTTGCAGATTCTTTTTGTTAAGCTTTCTGAAGGAAATTCACCTACTGTCTTCCTTTTGTGATTTGCAAAATTTTTTAGAGACATTACAATAACTTCTAACTCCAAATCAACACTCCCTCACCTGATTTCTGCCTCAGTGATCACACAGACTCTAACAATGCTTTGAATGCGTGATAAAAGGTGCTCATTACTTCCCAAACTGCACATTCACCTTGTTTTCCTGGTGACAGACTCACACATGAAATTGTCACTTTCAATGGTAAAGGAGTCAGAACAGCAAACAGATTGTAAAAACAGTTCTGTGTGCTGTGACATTAGTTCCTTATTTCTTACAAGGGATCCTTTACTGCTATGATCATAAATTTGTTAGAGGCAACCACTCATTTAGCATTCATCTCTGAGTGGCTATTAAAGAAAATTTTGAAACAAATTTCCCAGTTTATTCAGAATGAAAGAATCATGCCTTAATGATGAGTTCTGGGTTGAGTAATTGGGTGACAATTTTTCCTATAGATGCTTTTGAACTACCTGTATTGCTGAAAAGAAATTATTTTCAGATGCCTTCAGGACTTGTGAGAGATCTGGCTGTTTTTTTTGAGGGTGTCTGAGATCACAATATACAACTACAGCTTTACCATCATTTGTTTTATGCACCTGCTAATGGGATGATGATACGTTGGGGTATTTGTTGGAGATCATGAAGATGTGAGGACTTTGGAAAGAGTTTTTCTGTTCCTCTGCTTGATTCGTCTTGCAGTGTGCAAAATCTCTTCAGAAGTCACCAGGTTCCTCAAATGGGGAAAAGTAAAGGACCACAAGACAGTTACATCATGCAAAAGTTGATAGTTCAAAATCTGCTGTTAAAGAAAAGTACTGACAGCAAAAAGTGTGGAATGTTTCCAGTTGCCAGGTCCCAGTTCCCTCTTTCCTATTTGCTGTGCACTCCTGGCGCTTCTGCTGCTGGATCATCACTTGATGTGGGAGGTGTAGGAAGGACATGGCCTGGCAGGCACATCCATGCTCAGAAGCATAAACTGCTATTCCTACCTCTGTGCCAGATTCCCTGCACTGCTGCTGTCAGAGGCTGATGTGGTTTGAATGCCATGTGTCCAGTCACCCAGTCTTGCTCTCTTCCACTTGGATTCCCCACTCTTTTACTCTCTTTGTTCACAAGCAGGACATGAAATGGTGTGTCTGCAGTGGCTGCTGCCCAGCTAGGCTGATGTCTCCCCAGACTTCAATGCAACAAGTTCAGAGTCATCTACATATCTTCCATTGAGCTGCTCATTGTTGGAGTCATGATGGTACAGGTAGACAGGGACCTCTGTGATGGACGTTGCTGTATAGGAGGTTGATCTGGTGGAGCAGTGCTCTCGACGCCTTTGGCCCCACTGGGTTTTGTACTGTGTCCACTGCCTCTTCAAAGCCCCTTGTACCTGTTAAGGTAGGTTAAATTAGGGTAATGCATGATCAGAACTAGTGAAATTTTAGCACTTTTAAAACTTGCTGCAGAAAATAGGGGAAAAAAAAAAAAAGACAACAATAAGGAAATAGGCAGACCGAGCCTCATGGAATTTGACTAGAGCTCTCTTCTGCCCTCTCTTCCCAGCTGCAGAAGCACTCACTCATGCCCTGTCCTGAGATCCCTTCCTGCCTACCCTACAGCAGCAATTGTTTTTTCAGTGGTCACTGCTTGTGAAGAGAGGGAGGGGGTGGTTTTCCCATAGGAGGTCAGTGTGGAGAAGAGTGCTGCATGGGAACACAGCAGTGCAGCGCAGTGGGAGAAGAGGGAAGAGAAGGTAGGAATGAAGATCAAAAGACTTCTGATGCTGCACCTGAATCCTTGCACCTGGAATGGCAAATGCACTATGATTTTGAGGAAACTTAGCCTTGAATAAAACTGGCAAAGTATACTTCAAGAGCTTGCCAAGGCTCATCTTATAGACAGAGCCAGTTCATTAATGCAGATTAACTGGTAGTTCAAGAGGAGGTTCTGCACTGGCAAAAAAGCTAGCATTGGTCACAGACCTCTGTGTAGCAGAGAATTTCAGCTTTTGGACATTCATCCTCTAGGAACAAAACATTATATTCTACATTTATATTAAGGGTGATGTTCTACTCTGTGCCAGGATGTGACTGAAGCTGCTGAGGCCTGCCAGAGAATAAGAAGCCCATCTCCAGCTGCATGTTTGGGAGTGCTGGTGCCCTCCAGTTCCTTCCCAAAGGCTGTGCTGAGATGCAAGCAGGCATTGGGCAAAGCTGGGCTCCATCCATTCAGTTCAGCTGTCCTATTCCCCCAGTGTGAGGGCAGGAACTGAGTGCTATTACAGTGTGCTGTGACTCAGTCCTCCAGCAGCGGGAGAGACATGCAGATCCCAGGGCTCAAATGCTCATGCTGCAGCAGAGCTGTGTGTGATTCTTGCTCAGTGAGCTGCTCTGGGGCCACTCTCCAGGCTCTGTGCAGAGCAGTACCTTCCACTGATGTAAGTGGGTCTCAATGTCTTTAGTATTTCCTGTGACTCCACAATCCTAATCACTCCATTGATATGTATATTGTAAAATTCGATTGACTCCCCACCCATTGCAAGAAAGCTGTTCCCTGTCACATAAGGACAAGACTTCATAAGGAATTGCTGTGAACCTGAGATGCTCACTGGCTGTGCAGCAGGACTACACAATGTGCCAAAAATGGATTTTTCAATTGCTTTGGATTTTTATTTTTAAGCCAAGGAGCGAGCCACGGGATGAAGACTGATGCTATAAATCCTTACTCATGCAAGTAGTTGCACTGACCCGGGTATGACTCCTTGCTTGAGTAAACAAACGTTTGCTGGACTGGTCCATTAAAAATAACTGAAAGCTATGTATCTCCATGCTCAGTTTCCAATACTACCTCTATTTTGCTATCACATAGCTCAAGGCAAAGTGGTTAAGAGTTCTTATCCTCTAGAGAAATAAATTTCTATTTACCTTCTAACACACAAATAAAAGAAAAGTAATGGTCAATGAAGATTAATTAGCTATCAAGCACAGAAAAATATATGGTCACAATGGGACTGTAATTACCAGGGCTGTGGACAGAGCTTATATACCAAGATTTGAAGTGAAATGGCTGCATGCATGGATGTGTGGTATCATATCACCACCAAAGTTTATAAGTGAAAAAAACCTAACTGCGTGGAAGAGTACTGCAGCTGTATCACATAATAAGGAAGTGCACAAAGTGAAACCTGTACAGGTTTTAGTATTTTTAATACTGCCTTTTTAACATCACAGTGCTCCAGACGAATGCTGTAGTCTGGTTACCCTAGAAGCTACATGAAGCACAACAGTTAACCATGGTTACATGAAGCAGGAAGAACAAAGTCTGCCAGGAGACACCTACAGTTTTGTTCTCAGAAGGCAATGGTGCTGCGGTATGTATGGACTGGGAGGGAGCAGACACATCCCTTCAATAGGAGTGATACTGGTCAAGGCTTACAGGCCCTGTGGAGCAGTGAGAGCACCAGGTAGGAACAGCTGCTTTCGTTCCAAGTGCTGGCACCTACAAGAGTCTGGCCACCCTTGGCTAGTGGGCTACATGAGGTGTTGCACTTGGGTAAAGCAATGAGTAAACCTAGATTTCTGCCCTGATTCCAAGGATCTCAGGTGATCGCTGCTTAGTGCCAACTAAAACTGTTCAGGCACAGATTTCAATGTGCAAGCAGCCTTACTGAAAATCACACGCCCAGCCATACTGTGCTAACAACCACAGAGGCTCCTGCCATGTTTTCCTCTGTGACTGCAGATGGAGGAAAGAGAAACCCAGAGAAATGAGGAGCCTGAATTGGCTTTCTCTGCTTTTGAAGACTTTAAAGGTTTTCCTGTTCTCCATTATCCATTCATGCCTCTTTGGCACATGAGGTATGTGGCTGTTATTTGGTGGTGTTTTTTTTCCAAAGAGACTTTCCATTGTGTTGGCCAGTCTTGCAGTCCAGAGGTAATCTCAGGCCTGGAAATGTGGTCTGGTGAGCAGACTACTGAAGAGTCCTCGTATCATCTGCACAACACTGTTGTTACTGGACAGAGAAACTACAGAGCTGCTGAACACTAAGATTTTGCACGAAAATACATGAGAAGATTAATCATTTAAAAAGTCCTGGAAAAGTCCATTGTTTATGTGTTCTTCCACATGAATGAGGGACTGATGACATTTTAGCAATTTTCCATTTCTTTCTATAGATAGGCTTATGGCAATAAAGTGAGGCTGTGAGGTAGCATGCAAACAAATTCAACATAAAATACTGTCAGGTGGTACCAAGTTTAGCACTGTTTGTCCTGGCTAAGCTTCATGCATTTTAGCCTTGAAGTTAAATATTCCAGTAGAAAAAAATAAATTCCTGAGTATCTAGTTTTCTTACTAAAATTAATCTGCCTGCCCTGTGCTGAATTTTCTCATGACAAACCACTTTGAATTCTACTCTACAGCATCTATACTCTATGGATGTATACAGTGGACTGGAAACAATCTCCTGCCATGACTGAAAACCAGATTGTGGCTTTGGTCTGTGTCGTACTGCATACAATGAGACTGGAGGGAATTATCTTAGCTTAGTTCTCTTATGCAGCTGAACTCAGAGCTCTTCTCCCTTTGTCAGTGCATAATGCCATCTTGGTGTTAGCCTGTTTAGGGCAATAGGATTGATTTAGGTTAGGTTTAGGCCCTAAGTAGCAACAGAGTAAGCTTATGTTTGAAATTAGGAAAAATTTCTTCTCAGAAAGAGTGGTGAGGTATTGGAACGCGCTGCCCAGGCAGGTGGTGAAGGTTTTCAAGAAGCGTGTAGGTGTGGCACTGAGGGACTTAGTGGGCATGGTGGTGATGGGCTGATGGACTAAATGATCTTAGTGGTCTTTTCCAACCTTCATCATTCTATGGTTCTATGATTCTGCTGCTACTCTGCAGGTTCTGCATATTCCATTACGTTTTGTTGCTGTGTGACAGACGGCAGCAGAGGGGCATTCTTACTAAATGGTGCCTGACATGGATGTGTGCATGAAGCAAAGGTGTGGAACTGTATTCCTCCATGCAGAAAAAATGGCATCCACTGACACTTACTGCTGCTTATTGAATGTCTGTGGAGACCAAACAGTGGATGTGAGCACAGTGAGGCGGTAGGTGGTGCATTTCAGCGGTGGCAATGGGCTGCCAGCTGTGCCGAAAAGGCTTCTGGATGTGACTGAGGGTCTGTATGCTTTCAGTGCTATTTATTGTTGCTTTTCTTCATTTTAGCACTGCTACAACCTTTAATCTAGGCACAAATGTTCTCATTAGATTTGGAGAACTACAGAGTAATTGGCCTTTTGCCCTAAAGCTATAAAATATAAAGCAAATATGTTTTGCAAAATCTAATCAGAATAACTTGAAGGTGACCCTGGGGGGAAGGAAGGACGAAGAAAGCAATCCTGAAGGCAAGGATTTGTGTGTAATACATTGTCTGGAGGCAAGCGAGGACATACTGGCACACTGCCTGTACAAAGCTGTGCAATCAGTCCTATAGGGATATGCTGTTTCAAAAATTGCCTGGCTTGTCTCTTCATTTTTCATGCCATGTTCTCCCTACCAGAAGGAACCAGAAGTCCTGCTGCATGTGCAGAGCATGGGGACCGAACTGTGCCAGAAGGTGATAACAGTAGAGAAGAAATACGGTGGTAGCCTGCAGGTTCTGGGGGTGGACATGATACGAGAAAAGAATAGCACGTCTGCCAACTTTGCTTAAATGGTCTAAACTCTGACATGAGAGTGTGACTTTCTGTAATATGATCTTTATGACTGTTATTTCATTTTAAGTTCTGGTGTCCTCACCTACTTATGTTCTGCCATTTCCCTCTTATGTCTCCCATAAGCTGTGGGAGGCCTCTTTTACTATTGCATTTCAGTGTACCTTTACAGGGTGAGTCAGCCAGAAGCAAGTGTACAGTGATGTCAACAAGAGATGGTAGAATTTAATACACTCAGCCATTCTGAAAGCTAGAAAACCAGCCAGTAGCACCTTATCAGTTGGATAACTTGCTACAAGTCATTATCAAAAATACAGCATGATCACATCATTACTACTTGAGAATAACATACAGGGATAAACAAAAGTAAGAATGTCCCTGTAGGGTGACGTACGGAGTGTTAGCATTGCAAATTCTGTTCTGTATCTAATCTATCTGCTCTGAATTCAAAGCAAACTTTTAAAGGGATTTCCAGCTTTTCTGAGATAATGCTGTGGTTTATTTCTCTACAGTTAAATGGTCCCAGTGTATCACAACAGCTTACCATCTTTGGGAAATGGCTTACTGGAGGAATTTAAATGGCTCTTGACATGTTACAAACAGCTATTTTTATAAAAACAACTTAGTGAAGTGGACCTAGATACACTTGTAAGTATAAACATTTGATCAAGCTATAAGAGAAGGGGAGACATCCTTAACTCCTTAACTCAAGCTTTAATTACAGCTTGATAATTACTGACCTTAAAAAGGCCAGCACTAATCTTCGAAGAAGGGAAAGTAGTTGCAGCCCTACAGGTTCCTCTGCTCTGACAATGCTACCATGTGTAGTAGCTCTGTCAACTGTTTGAGTCTTTTACTAGTGTTTTAATCCTTTACTTTGACCTCTAATTTGTGTGGTATTGTGGGTGAAAGGGGGAGAGACACGTCTGTGCTGCACTTGGTGCTGCTGACTTTCCTGACTTAATGGGGTATTCACACAGAAATTTCAGAAATGCACAGAGCTGCTTGTATACAGATCTTGAAAAATATCTTTCTCTGCCTTTGAATTTTGTAATTCGAGATGCTTCATTTTTGTACCAATCAACACCTAACCATTTTTGAAGTTTCTTTTCTCTTGTTGCATTGTAGATACATACCTCACCATTGAAGAAGCAGAATATAGTCGCCACAAGCAAGCCCTAAAAGGAAGAAAATGAAAAGCATTTAAGGATCAAAATATATACATACATATTTGTTTGCATTGTTTGGAAAATGAGGCTTGAGGCATGCCAGATAAACTTTGATCCACTTCCTTTCCATCACAGACATTTCACCTAACATCTCCCTAATTCTCAGTTATATTTTTACACCAGTTTTTGTCTTTTCAATATATTTTCTAGATCACTTCTAGATTATCTGTTCTGCCTATAAGGTTATTTTTGTTTGAGAGGGCAGGAGAAGGATAACTAAGTGATATTGGCTTTAGGAAGTGAAGGCAGAGGAACTGCCCCACGTGCTGCTGTGCATTTGTCAGAGTGAAGTTACCTGGTTAAGAACTGTCACACAAGGGAAGCCCGGCTGTGCCAGAAAGGCTTTCAATTGAAGTGTATGATGGAATAAGTGGACCCGTATGTGCAGCATCAGTATGGATGGGAAAGTGTGAAAACAGATATTATAGGTCAGAAAAAGGGAAAATAAACCAACACAAAACACAGGTGAATTAGAAGGTAGGGAAGAGACTGAAGATCATAGCTTGGTCCTAAACCTCTTGAAATTAATTTCATTATTGCCACGTTTGTTCAGATATTTCCTTACCTCTACAGGATTAAACAGGGTCAAGCCAAGAACATGAGGTGAGGAAGTGTGAAACAGGTAAGAGAGAAAATTCTTGTGCATAGAGCCTGCTGTTCAAAACCACATAATTACACTGCTCTGTGTTCTAAAGAGCATTAACTCTTATTAAAATATCATTACATAACAACGCCGGGAGCCAAATGCCCTCATTTTAGATTACTTAAAGCTGTTATTAGAAACCAAATTTATGGCAGTTTGTGAAATTGAGGGAAAAATTGCACTGCAATACTCTGTGTTCCCAGAGGCTGCTCAGAGGTACTTTACAGCTGCATCTTCTTTATAAGCTCTCATTTTACTTATTACCAGTTAAATTATAACTGATGCTTTGTAAAACATCTTGGACCCTCAAATGTTTTAGACTACAAAGATAAGATAAAATGTTGTAGCAGAATGCTGTATCAGGAACACACACAAGCTGATTTGAAGAGGTACTATCATCTGAATTTTAGCAATGATTTTGCTCCAATAAAGTTTCTTTGGTTGCAATATGTAGTTGCAAATAACTTCAAATGTGAAGACAGAGGAGGCGGAAGGCAATTGGAGTGAGCAAAATAAATCTTTTTATGTTTTGGAAAACAGTACCCTCCGAAAGCTCCAACTCCAGAACACAGTATGTAATGCATAATAGTTTTCCCCTATGCTCTGGTTTGGGAAACACCATAAAGTCAACCAAAAACTAATGCCTTAACAGCAGACCTTTGGCAGATCACAGATGCCTAAATCTGAAATTTATGCAAACGTTACACTTCCCTGTGGCCTATAATGATTATTCCCCTGCACTGTGCATGCTATGTCAATTTGCGCTGTCTTGAAAAACATCTGCTGTGGTACTGTATGGTATATGGTCACATTAAGGGTTTCGCTGTTTTGCTGGAATGTGTTTAGATTAACAGTAGTCAGCCACAATGGGAACTGAGATGGATTTTGATCTCCTCTGGGATTAGAGAAGTTCAGTGGGACACAGAAGATAAGACTCCAGGAGGAGAGAAAGAAGTCTGTTCTTCTCTAGGGGAAATCGGGAACTGCAGTTCACCTTAAGGCAGAAATTGAACTTGAACTATTAATGTCATTTTCCATTTTATTTCATAGAATCATAGAATGGTTTGGGTTGGAAGGGACCTTTAAGATCACCCACTTCCAACCCCCTGCTATAGGCAGGGACACCTCCCACTAGACCAGATTGCTTACAGTCCCATCCAGCCTGACCTTGAATGCTTCCAAATAAATATCCTGTACAGTGTTCAAATTCTTGTTAAATCCTACAGTTTATCTATTATCTATTTATGTTCCCTTCACTATTGCCTTCTCTAGACTTTCTGTTAGAAAAGCTAAAGATGAAGCATTATATCTCCAGCTGCTCTTCTTGTCTGGAATAAGCTGAGAACAGATGTGACTGTTCACCTTTTTAAAATCATGGAAGTTGTACATCTCTGCTGACTGAAGAAATTTTTTCCTTTGCCCCATCTATGTCTCATTGTTCTTCTTTCAACAGCAATAACCCTCTGGGCTCTGCCGTCCAAAGCTGCTCCTGAATCTTCTTGAAAATAAGTCAGAAACCTCTGTAACAACCAACCACACACAAATGTGGAGGTCCCCAGCAGACTTTTGGCACTGGGGAGTAAAGGCTCCTATGAACTCATCCAAATTAGGGACATTTACCTATCACCTTACTCATTTCTTGCCTATCTATCATATTTCTGCTGCTCCACTGGCTTTCTCTCTTTTCTGAGTTTCTTAAGTGGATCTGAATTGTCCTTGTACTCCTAAATCTATCACAGGAAGAAGGAAACAAAGTTCAACAAATTCTTTGTCCTATTCATCATCTGTAGAATGTTCACCCACAGTTTGGGAGTGAAGCTCACATTTCAACAGCAGTTTTCCCAAAATTTATACATACATATATATTTATATATATGTATTCACTTTTTTCCTTTTAGAAGTTAACCCACTATGTAAAAAAAACCACATCAGAAAACACTACAAAGGACCCAGTAACCAACTGTGTTCACTAAGAGGCTCAAAAAATAGAAGTGGAAATACGCAGATGGAAGATCTCCATAATGACATGTTGCAAGTCTCATGAGCCCCCTTACAGCTGTAAGGAAACCAGGATGAACACACACACAGAGCTGGGTCTAACACTGAGCCAGGGGCCCTTGGGCTCATCTACAAGTAGGAATGAATGCTCATTTTTCACCTTTTTAAATGCTATATAAGCACTTCTTGCTCTTCCCTGTGCTGAAGAAATCTGAGGACATATGTTGAAAAGACAAGCGGACAGAATAAAACTTATTGTGCTTCCCTAGATAATTGCTTTCACTGACATCTGCATGAATTTGGGCAATTCATACTTGAAATTAAACCACTCTGTTTAGCAATAGCATCTGTGAGATGCCATCTGGAATAAAGGTGGAGGTTAATTTTCTGCTAGGGTCCCCACATCATACACTCAAAGGTTTCCCGTTTACCCACACAGTAAAAACCCCAACCCAAATAAATACTGAGAGGAATAGAAACAGACTGTTTGCCATGCAGGGGAGTAAGGTAACATTTCTTGAAGCTTGATGAGGTCTCCTGACAGATGGGAGTCTAACGAGTCTGAAGGAGAACAATAGATAACTGGTAAGACATCTGCCCACTTACAGATAGCAAACTATGAGATGTGTCATCCTTCTGTGCAAACACAGAAATGATGTTCATACACAACTGGTGAAAAATATTAGGATAAGATCAAGAGAAAACATGCAGCAAAGATCTGGAAGATTAAATGCACAAGTAAACTGCCTGTTGCTTTTAATTAGAGCAAATACTAAACTGGTTCTGTGCCTTTATTGAATTTTAAGCCATGTCTCATGGCAGTAAAATACTTATCCTCACTAAAATTGCTGTCTCACCTGGTTTTGTGAAATACAAATATCAGAGCTATAACACGTACCTCTGGCACTAACAGAATTTTCATGTCTGCTCATCTCTATCAGGCCTTTTTATAACATCCAACATATTTTCAACCATGGTCCACTACATGAACAATTACTTGTAGTTCTATTACTTCTGTTTCTGCTTCTTCTGATTTTTATGTCATTTTTTTCATAGTTCAGTGTACTGTGAATATCTTCAGCTGTAAAGCTACAGAGAAACCAGTAGCAAATATAAACTTTGTGTCTATGGAGCTAGGAAGGTTTGGGATGCTGATAACTTTATGAGGGATACACATACTATTATAACATGCGAGAGGCTGGATGTATGTTATCATATCACGTAGGGCCCATGGGTTAATTCTGCTATTTCTTTGACATAAGCCTTTCATATTCTCTCTAACTGCTGCTGTTTTGTTTTTCTTCTTTTTTTTTTTTTGCTTTTTTTGGGTGCAATCCCTGCTGAGGATGAGCCCTCTAGATCAATTCTCTCTGTCTTCCACTGTGTGTAAAACTGACCTATAATACATTATCAGTTGACAGAGGGTAACAGTGACTATGGGATTGATAGCAGAGATGGGAACTATGTTTATTTGGACATTAAGGTCTTTATAGATTGCTTCTGAAATACATTATTTCTGGAATCATGTGAAACCCAAAAGCACATGGCTCTCTAATGAATCATGCCTAAGGGACTCTCTAGAGTCAGAAGCTCTCAGACCTTTGTGAACGTGACTGATCCCACAGTAATTTTTTCTCTGTGTTTAATACTGGTCCAAAGACATTTATGCTTGACAGGCATTTGACTTACATTTCAATCTCCTACAGGATGTAATTTGCTCAGGTTAAAAATAAACAAAACCCTATCCAGCTGCTTCAAATTTATGTGGCTTTCTGATACTTCAATTGTATTTCTTCTAGCTTATGGCTCCCTAAAAACTATACAGCATATCTAGATGTGCTTATTTCTGTTATTCCTGAGCATCTCCTACAAAACCAGTCAGACTTACCACTTCAGTTTTTCTATGCATGTGGTATCATGCACACACAATTTTGAACTGATAAGGGTGATATAAGCAGGAAATCTCAGACAGCAGGATACACAGATTTTGGTAGCATTACTTATCACCTCATTAAAGGAACTTTTTTTTTTTTTGTTAAGGGTTATTTACTTACTACAACATTAAAATACCTTCTGTGTTTACCTTCACATAAAAGAAAAGTAGAAGTGGGTCAGTGTGTTTGCCTGTGTTGCCCTCTACTCACAAATGCATCAGCAATTTGCCTTTGCTCAGCAATAAGGGACTGGGTATATTAAGAGAGTAAACCAGACAACCATTCGAAGTCACATAATTTTTTGTTTAAAAAATAAAATAAAATCCTATTGAACAATGACATTTTCAAAGTACTTTCGAAATAAAGATGTCAGTGTTATAAGCGTTATACTTTAATTTCAACTATTTAATCATGGAATTTTAACTCCTAAATCAAGCTTCATTGTCACAATTTTTCTTTTGTGTATTGGAATTCACTCTGCACAGTACTTTGTATGCAGCTAATTTTATTATTAACCTCACAGCAGCAGTTTCAGCAAATTTCAGCACTTAGCAGAAATAGCACTTTCAACATAGAAGACCTTTGTGATCTTGGTTCTCTGCTTAGTTCAGAAGTAGTGCCACTTGATCTTTTCCCCTCATTTTTCTGTTTCTTTTATCTCATGTTTTTTCTTGATACATCAATGCTACTTGTGCTGAGGTAGATAATTCAGACATGTAAAGGCAATTGAAAAATATAAAACCACAATCATGCTCAATTTCAGTGCAAAACAACTGACAACAATATCTTTGGCTAAATAAGCTCAACAGCAAGCACGTTACTTAAGCTGAAGTTACTACTATATAGCATACCTGGTAATGCATTAATATATGCATGATGTAATCATATATTTCTCCAGCAAGTCGGTTTTCTGGTCTCCAGGGTATAATAACAAACTGAATTCCTAGTAAGGGAACCAGGATTAACGTGGCTCTGACAGCTTTCATATACATGTTGGACTCAGCACGGTGGGTATCTCTTAGCTTTGTCACCAAAACTCGGACAATGTTAAGCAAAAAGAAAAAATTGACCTGTAAAGCAAAGCCATTATAGGTAAAAGCAACCAAATTAAACAGGCATTCAAACCAAAACCACAGAACACATAAATGACTTTAAAATGCAGTTTCCTAGCTTTCCTAGCTGACTCCCCTGGGGGTCAGACCTTGGAGAGTACCTTGAACACCTTCAGAAAGCAGACATTAAGTTGCTATATGTGCTTGCCTGAGGAACCTGAATGGATGTTTGAGATAGGCAGGGATCAGTTCTGAGTGTTTTGACACTGACGTGGTCAAACTGAGGATCTCCAAGGAACAAAACATCTCATAGTTTAAGCACAGCGGATGAATTATTCCCAGGGAAATGGCTGCTCTGGAGGTCACCAAGGTGTCATGCTTTGTGCTGCAGCCAGGTGAGAAACCCACAGGTGTCCCTGGGCGTACAGAGCCTACAGGGTACACACATTCTCTGAGGGACCTGCTCTGGCTCACGTGTGCTGTCACTTCAGGATTGTGTGAGCAAAGGGCTCTGAGAAAACCTAGGCTCAACTCTGCCTCCATGGGACTGTAGCGGTCCTATGTACGCTGCCCATAGGTAACAAAACAAGCTGGAACAGGGCAGAAAGGCCAAAGAGTTGAAGGGCCAAAGCCCTTCCAAAAATCCACGTATCTGAGTTCCAGAGTCATTTCTAAAAACCTGACTCCAGCCATGGGTTCTCAGCACAGGGCCATATTGCCCTGCCTTCACAGAGCTCCTGGCAGGATACGCCTGGAAGCACATGGGCAGATAATGAGCCCTGAGGACATCATAGGCATCACAGATTTCCTTTCTCCCCAGTATGTAACCAGGCCGCCTTTCCTACTCCTTTACAGTACCAGCAGGCACCTGTGCTTATGAACTTCAACAGACTTCTATAGCAACCATTTTTTAAAATAAGTATCCTCTTATTACATAACTAGAATAGGTATTTTAATAGTCCCAAATCCATGCATATGTGAGAAATCTCACTTGGACCTTTTTAAAACAATAAACCAAGAATCAGTAAGCTTTCACAAAGCACTTTGTAACTTCTTAGCTACTGAGAGACCTTTGAGCTGTTTTACATTCATGCTCTGCTGGAAAAAAAAAAAAAAAAAGGAATAATAAATGACTTCTGAGATCCCATTTAGCATTAAATCTAAATCTTATTCTCCATCCTCCTCTGACTTCACTCCCTCTACTTAACCTTCACTTTTAGAACTTTTTGAAGGTACTGTGGAAGGTGAAAAAAAGACTCAGCAAAGGTAAAAACCCTCAGCTCCTCCGAGTCTGCCTGAGTCATAGTCTACCACTATGAGATTTCGGTAGCAAATCATGAAGGACATTGTATAAACAGTGACAACTTCAAGAGAAAACTAAAACAGGAATCAGCATAAGAACGAGACAGAAAATATAACACCTTATTTTAAAAACAGTTACAAATTGCTCTGCTTCCATAAAACCAGCCTCTCCTCTTTTATTTGCAGCTAAAATGTGCAGACCTGGGGCTTAGTGATCAAAATAAAGGCTGACTGGCCTCTCCTAGAAGCTGGCTTTATGACAGCAGCAGTCAAGATCAAGCCAATAAACCCGCAGCAGATGTGATCCTGCAGGCATGGCAGGCTGAACATGGCAGGGACGAACTGGCTTCTCTGTATTCCTGATAGGCAAAGCTACTTCTCAAGAAGGGGCAGAAAGACCTGTTTTTTTTTTTTTTAGTTAGTAGACAGAGGGTTGTTTCTTTATTCAGAGGTATTCTCAGCATTCCCCATCATACTCTTTGATCTGCTAGACCATTTCTGTAGGTATATCCATGCAGAAGTCAATATCAAACAGAACGAAAGCGCATCTTGGATGGCACACTGAGATGTGTTTGGGACTTGGGCTGAATAAAACTCAGTTACATAGTTCAGTTCGCTTCAAAATCTGATTATATTTCAGGTGGTTCCTTGGCTGATTTATGAAAAGTATTGAGAGCCTTTCTTTAAAAGAGAAAAATCACAAATTGCTTTCAAATTTTCATCAGAAGACTTGAAGTACAGAAATTTATATTCTCTACACATTAACAGCATTTCTAAAATAATTATTGAATGACTGATAGCAAATATTCTTACCAATAAAGCTGCCATTACAGGTCCATGAACAATATAAAGCAAGTGAGTGTCAACACTCATCCAGCAGCTGGAGGAGAAATATACCACATAATTTATTATTTACTCAAAATGTGTAACACAATTAAATAGTGCTAAATTCCTTCAAAAAAAGACATGCTACTCACTTGTCATTGAAGTATTTGGCTCTTGCAACTGCATGAATTGAAGCTGGCACTACAGGAAACCCTGAAATGATTAAAGGAATAGGTCAGCCTTGGTGTTTTTGGCTTGAACATCATTGATCATAAAAAAAAAAAAAAAAAAAAAAAAAGTGAAGTCCCAGCTTTCACCCAGCACCTTAAGGGAAGCCACTACTCTGACAGGTAGCAGAATTGAGCAAATGTGTACTAAACCAGGGGAAACATGCCATTCTTAACATACCTCAGTTGTGTATATCCTGACTTTAAGTGGCAATCTGGGCGGCCCCCCCCCCCATCTACCTTCCTTCATTTTCTGTGTATGTAGTCTCCCTTTCCAACAGGCTAGAAACCTGCGAGCCTGTGCTTCAACACTGACCCCACCTTGTACAGCCTTGCACATACAGACAGCTGGGGATCATCTACTACTGTCTGTCCTTTGCAGCGAGCTGTGTACATCTTGGACACAAACACTTTTAGAAGAGGCACAGAATACTCAGACTAATTCTTCAGTGTTCTTGCCACAGAACACAGGTCAGCCAATGCTGGAGTGAGATTACGGTAAAAAAAAAAAAAGTGTGTGAATAGGACACTGCACTCTCCAGGCATCTCTAAGCAACAGCTACTTGCTTTACTGCTAAAATAAGTTCTTATGGCAGTTTAACTTCAGAGAACAATGCAGCTGTGGGAGAATAAAATGATGGACTGTCTTCTCTTTCATACTGTTAGAAAATGATTTCTTTGCTTCTTGCTGCAGAATGGTTTTTTAGAAAAACAAAAATATCTGAACAGAAAGAAAAGAGCTTCCATTCTCAGGGTGACCTTATGGGAGTAGCAGCTTCAGAAAGTCCTTTTGTTTTGGAAATGGAGCAAGTTTGATCCAGTTTTGTTGACAGACTATGTAGATTAAAATGCATTTTTAAGGGACGGCTCTTTAACAGTAAAAAGCATTGCAAGTAGATTGCTCCACATTGATGCCTTGGGACCTTTTTCTTCTGCTAAATGCATTAACCTAAAATATTTGGCTCAACAAATTCTCATGCAAATCTGAAGAACACAACGGAAAGTTTTCATTAATAAGGTAAGAAACTCTTGACCATCTACGGCTCAGATTTCCAGCCGCAGGCTGGTCCGTGCAGCTAGATGTTGCTCTTGCCTTGGAAAGGGCCAGTAGCAGTGAGAAGGGGAACACCAAGAAGGCCTATCGTGTCCTCATGACCTCACTGTTTCACTCCAGAGGTCCCATATATCTGTTACGAGAGCTGAGCAACTCAGAAAAGGTCCTACTCCAGCCATCCCAAGAGAAGGTATGCCGTACCCCTGAAGGTCATGCCAGGTCTTCTTTGAAAAAAATCTGGCAATCATGCTTAATTGCATTTCCAGTTGGCTACAGCACTGCCCACATAAGTGATTCCCTTTTCAATTTTATGTGGATGAAGCAGCCTGAAGCAGCTTGATGGAACAGAACGCAGTTGGATGCACCCACCTGATGCTATTATCATGCCCTGCATAAAGGTGATTTTCTGACCCACTGAAACAGTAGCACATGAAAAAGGACATTCTCAGCAGCAGGTGCCAAAGAAGATGTCACCTGAGGGCATCCGTCTTCAAATACATCCACCTGTGTCAGATTCCGTTCAGTCATCTGCAAACATTTCATGGAAGTGTTTTTGTATTTGCTCAGATTTTTATTTTTTTAGACTAAGTTATTTTACAAACATCAATAAAGATTTTTCCAAATAAAATAATCTAGATCGTTTTGCGTAGGGATTAGTTATAACAAGGAATAATGAGTATATTCATCTTGTGTTGTACATTTACCTTGATTTTTTGAATTGTAATTCAGAGCATGAACTGCTGTTGCTCTGCACTGTCCTTTGGGGAAACATCTCTCTCTTCATTGATTAACACAGCTGGACATTTGAAGACAGACCATGTGAGTACTGATTTTGGAAGCAGTGGAATTATACTGATTTATGCAAACTTTAGGGGTCGCCAGGTTGTCCTAATTATTAGCAATAGGATCTAATGACTTCTACTTCAGTTAGAAGGTGCAAATGACTACTTAGTGTGGTAGTATCCACATAGTTTCATTACTAAGGATGCAGACTTCACAGTCAGAGTTGTGTTGCTTTCTATTAACCTTTTCTCTCTCAGTATATCATCACACCATTCCCACAGATGTTGCTTATTTCTGGGACAATGCTGCAGCTACTGATGAGCATCCTTTCAGTTATCTTCACTGAATTACCCATCAAGATACCTTCAACCATATTTCAATGCCCTCAACCATATCTCAGCTAGCTCATAAGCTTTCACACCAAGCCAGCTGTCCCAGTTGCACAACATGCATTACCTAAAGTGAACGACACTTAGAAAAATATGTTAATGCCCACTTTTCTCCTGCATAATGTGATACAGAATGACAGTACTTCAGGAAGTCTTACGCTACACGAAGACAGCAAATGTTTGAACTGGAAGGAAGGGTATAAAATTACTCTTCATACAGGGCTTCCATTTTCAAAAGCAGAGGGCTACCAAACTTTGTACATTCAAATATTCTGAACTATGAAAACTGTGATAGCAGCTATTTGAAAGCAAATAACTGCCCCAAAACAAAACAACAACAAAACAACCAACAAAACAACTTTCTGCTTTGCTGTTATAATCCTTTAGCATCTGCTACTGGATGTCCAACTAGCAGTTGGAGTCAGGGTTTTAACGTTCTTCAGAACATTCAGGTTCATTTTTCTCCCATGTAACCAATTCCCATTTTTCCCCTCTGTTAAAACAGGAGAGCTGTTTTTCACTTTCCTACTGTAAATGAAATAATGAAAAATGAAATGATGTTGATCAGGCATTACATTTGCAAGAAGGATGAAAAATAGCAAGTACATTACTTATGCTTCAGTCGGGGATTGTAAGAAAACCATAACACAGGGAGATGATGAACAAAGTTCTGTCATTTACCGCTTAGTGCACCAGTGGGTTTTGCAATACAAGGCCTGGCTCACCAGAAATTGGAATGAGGCCAGAAATTCACAGCTCCCAAGCTGGAAAAAAGCTATTGCTAATGATTTTCTGTCAACGTTGATTCGGACTGAATTTACAGTAGAGATTTAAATGTGAAAGAAATGGTACTTCACTCCAATATATTGGTTGTATTCACGTGGCCTTTCACTGAACCAGGAAGCACAAAGAATAAATATACCTGTTGTTGCTAATAATTAAATGGCAACAACTCCCTCAGTGAAAACAGAAGTGATCTGCATATTTGGCTCTGAAGGAGGAGACTTAGACATGACTTCTTGGTCAATACACATGCTACTAGAGAGACTTTGTATAGCATTTGTAACCTCTCCCATAGTATATCACTGAGATTTGCTAATTGACACCTGAAATGCCTTAGAGATCACTGTTGTTAGACAAAATAAGAACAGAGACATTATCTACTCCTCTGTAAAATGGTATCTTCTCCCTTATAGTAACATCTGCCAAAGTATACCCAATATTGGATTCAGTTTCAGAAAAGCTCTGGTTTTTCTTTGTATGTGCTGCATTTTTACAAATTGATAGACACAGATATTGATTTTCCTCCTCATTCCAGAGTAAATATGCTTATATATAAGATTAATATTTTTGCATGCAAAGTGACAAAACTAAACATGTTCTGTTCAGATGAGAGATGCACTTGGATAACAGTCTATTTCACTCTCAAAGCTTTGCTTAACAAAATTTAAACATTTCTTTCAGCAAATCCCAAGGTGCAGCAAGTAACAGATAATGACAGCTGTTGACATTTTTGTGACTCTCTAGACTCACACAAACAAATGCACTCAAATTTAGGACCTAAGAACTCAGTTCTAGGCTATGACTTAGCAGCATGAATCCAATGCAAATATCTGAACCAACTACACCAACTTCCACCAACTACATGTGCTACAAAGCACACCATACGTACCCCAGCCCAAGAGGTAGTACCAGTGCAAGCGCTGCTCTTCTGCAAAGACAGCCACCACAATCAGCGTGTGCAGGTAAATGCCTTCACACAGCATCCAGAAGTAGTTGCAGCCCAGCATGTACTGGTGAAAGAACTGCAGCACTTTGCAGCTTACCTGCCAGGCAAATGAGATAATGTCACACACCTGACTAGCATTCTACATCTAAGCAGGCAAAGGTAAATTATAATTCTATGCTATGAGAAAGCAAAGTGAAACAGATGCCCAGATCTTGCTGGGTTTGTTTGGCACATATCAGTGACAGGGATTTTAAACTTTATAAATGAAATGAATAAAACAAAAAGCCTTCATAAAAGAGTAAAAAATTGTATTATAACAGTACTCCAGAAAGTACTCTGCAAAAAAATTCCCTTCAAAGTCCTTAGTTCCATGCTTTTTAGAACTGCATTTGTTTTTTAGAACAAGCAGCCTGTTCTAGAAGAAGGCTGTGAGAAAGACATAACTTAGAGCTCTAGTTTGGTGATTTCTTTCACTTTACTCGGAATTTTCAAAGACTTGCTGAGCTCTTCTGTGAGTCAGTCACTCCTCTAAAAGCAACACCCAGTTCTGAACTCCCTCCTTTGAGAACAAGTACTTGCAGGCAGTGGAGATGAAAAGACATGGAGATAAGTGAGTCTGTGAAGCTGGACAGTGGTTCTTGCCTGCAGCTCAGATGGGAAACTGAGACTTCAAGCTGCTTGGGGAGCAGATGGTGGAGAGAAACACATTGTGTCCATTCACCAGGTGGTGTGGGAGGAGACCACCCCTCCTTTGAGAGGCTCTGATGTCCATCCGCTTCCACCATGTCCCAGTACCCAGGAGGCCTATGGAGCAGGTGGGTGATGCAGGGATCTCTTCAGGGAGCACCAGTGGCTACATGGACATCTGAGGTGCCCTCCGTGATGGCAAAATGCCAGTTGCCACCTTATCCACAAGAAAATACTCCTTCCCCTTCACTTCTCCAGATGGCTTCCAAGCTAAATTACCTGGACTAGAGGCAGTGTTTTTGCTAGGACTGACTTGTCAACCATTCAGCAGAGGATTGTGTGCCCCGTGTCTGTTTGGAGGACTCACAGTGCCCCTCTGGGACAGAAAAGCAGGTTCAATAGTGATTCTGTTGAACAGAGCAGTTCACAGAACATGGGCATTTAGCTCTGTTTCAATGTTTGCAATGCAGCTTGTTGCTCTGAAAATAGAAGATCATTGACAGTGCAGCTAAAAGAATTCAAATAGGATGAATGTGAAGGACTGTTGTTTTTGTTTTTGTTTTTTTTTCATTTCATTTCTTCTGCTTGCCACACAGAGCAAAGCAGTCACATAGTTTTTCCACACTGTGTCTGAACAGTTCCTACAAAGTATGCTGAGAAAGGATTAAAAAAAAAGAAAAAAGAAAAAAAGAAGGATTTGCTGTTTTCAGTGAACTTTTTGAATGAGGGAGAAACTAACTACATGAACAAAGCCAGCCCTTCTGCAACTTTTATCTGTAGCTCAATATTTGAAATACAGAAAGCATACTGCCTGAAGACGAACCATCTTTGTTTCCTGAAGAACAATACACCTAAACTTAATTTGCTTCATTTCCTCAGTATTTCCTTCTTTCCTGTGCCCTCCACATGAACTGTCACTCGTGGCTTTAAAAATAAAATTAAGCACCTATGTTTTAGAGTAATGGCTATGCAGACAGCTCATGACTCTTTTGAGTAATGTAATCACTTGCTATGCAGTAAGTTATAGACTGCCATTGGCAAGACATGAAGGATGCGTGTGATTAGTACTTGGATCCACATCACATTAATTTAAGAACTAATCTGAAAAAGTTACCGTGAACAGTTTAAGCACAACAATGCACTGCAAAGAATTATGCTGTATTCCTATCAATCAAACTACAGTGAAAATCAATCTTCACTTTGTATGAGCTAAAAAAATGCAGCAGGCTTCAGCTGTGGTTGAGTGCTGCCATGGAAATAAAGTGAGTGTTTTTCTTAGATCAGAGCAACCTGTTGCTGATGAGAACTGGAGTCATGTGCGGTGTGAATAAAACATGGCAAATGTAGCCACACATCTCAGTGTACGTTAGCCTTAGCTGGGAAAACTGCAGGACTCTGAAGTTTTGTGAAGAGCTTATTCTTATAGAAACAAGTAAAATGAAATTGCAAGATAATACGGGAGCAAATCTTTGATCACTTCCATGCTTGATAACTTGGAGATTTAAAAAAAAAAAAAGGTTAGATGTTTTGTCTTCAGTTGAAGTTAAATACATTTTGATGCAAGCTCTTTCTGTCATTGTATCTCATACAATATGCAGTATGGTCAAATCCAGGATTCAAAGGATTATCACAGCACTAATACTGCTGCTACTAGCACTAGAACTCATGATGGAGAGTAAAATGTCATCAGCTCTTGGTCTGTGGGTGTGCACTTAAGCTGCAGGGGAAAAAAGGAGCCAAATGATAGAACATGGTCAGGCAAGAACAGCTCCTACCTAGCAAATCTTGCAAAGAGTTGTAAATCATGTAAACACCTCAGCTGCTGTATGAAATGAAAAGTTTCAAAAGGATGCTGGAATCACTTTGTGGAGAAGAAAGAAAACAATCAATCTCCTTTCAGGAGCAGGCCTTTGTGATTTTTTTCAGGATTTATTGGTGCACTATAAATACTGCTAACATTCCAGGCCTATTAGGAGGGTCCCAAAGTTCCACCTGTCTATGCAGGATTGTGCAATTGCATGGCCATGCTGCTGGCATGCTGCTCTCCTTGGCTAGGGCACAGCCCCTCCTCACAGGTTGCAGACTCATGCAGTGTCTCGAGTTGGAAGGGATCCATTAGAATCACTGAGTCCAACTTCTGGCTCCACACAGGACCACCCAAAAATCAGAGCATATGACTGAGAGCACTGTCCAAATGCTTATTGAACTGTGGCAGCCTGGGGCCATGACTACTGCCCTGGAGAGCTTGTTCCAGTGGTTGACCACCCATTGGTGCAGAACCTTTTCCCAATCCCCAGCCTGATCTTCCCTGCTTTTCCCTTTTATTTTGTCTTTCTTTTATTGTCGCGCCAAAACTGTACACAGTACTCAAGGTCCTTACATGCCATTTCCCTGCTAAACTCTCCCTTATTGTCTGACAGGGAGAAAGCATCAGCAATAATGCAGAATTAAATAAAAACCAGAATACTGCCTTCATCAAAGTAACAAAACATAACATCCACTCCTAATTGATTTTGAGCAGGTCTTTCTAGTAATTCAGTCAGAATAAGCCTAGGTTTTAGCAGAGGGAGGGCAACTCGCCCAGATTCCTGTGTCTGTGTTCCCATGATGCTTCCCTGACTGAAGGGCCACAGGCTGGAACTGGGAGCCCTGGTTTGCACAGCCTACCTTGCCAGCTCCACAGCACCTGGCCCATCACCACTGGGGCAGGATGCCTGGCAGTGTGCAAAGTGAAGCCTCTCCTCACTTGTTCTCCACGCACTGAAGTGCCCCAGGCTGACATTTGCAAGAAATAAATAGATAAGAATAGGCCAAACAAGGTTATTAGTTTTTGGCCAAGCCACCTACATGGGACATTATTATAGCTGTACATTTCTCTGTTTAAAGGGAAATAAGAGTGTTTGCCCTCCCTGAAGATCAGTCAGAGTGGGCTCTCTTCACGTCTGTAGAACCCCCCTGTGCGCACAGCTCTTCTCAAGAAGAGGTTGTGCTGCTCCCCACAAAGACCAGACAGGATTTATTCCAAGTCAGTTTGAAGGCAATAAAATGCATTCTCAGACATTCTTAGCATGTTTAAGGAGTAACTTGAAGTTTGGTTATTGACCTGCCTTATGCATTTTTTTTCTGGTTATTAGAATGCTTTTCTATGAAAATATTCTTAAATTCCCAGTATCCATATGTTACACAAATAAGCAATAAAAGGACTTTCCAAAGCAGGACAGTGCTAAGCATTGTAGCTGTAAATCATGGACTATCAGAACGTCATACCATTATACAATATATCTACTGTGAGTCACCCATTAAACTGTGTTCCAGTCAGAAAGCTGGCATGCAGGGACTCAGGCTAAGATTAATGTTTTAATATACTTTTAAACCATTTGCAGAACAAAATGTACACAGTTGCTTAGAGGGTTCCTAGGTTTTGTGTTACGAGAATGCAAAATATGAAATTAAGCATCGAGGGATATTTTTAACAGCATCCCTACCCATGCCTACACTGCGAGAAGAAGCCAGCCTGGAATTAGGCATCATGGGCAGTGATTTACACAGCCGTATCCATACACCCCAACCTCCCAGCTGCAGTCACTGTCCTGGGGCTGCAGCCTAGAACCCAGCAGGATAGGGCTGGAGTCCTACGGGGTCCATGTGGTGAACCCAGCATTGCAGTATGCAGGGAGCAAGGCAGGGCAAGGTACAGTCTCCTTGTGCTTAACTGGCTTCCTCAGCTGGGGCAAATCTCTAGTGGATACACACACCTTGCACACACAGCCAGCAAGTGCTTTGCTATGACAATCTTCTGTGAAAGCCCTAATGGCTTCTCATGGTCACCGTGGCCAGGTAGGAGGACTGTTGGGTCAGATGGTATCAGCAAGGTGTATTATTGAGCAGCAAAATTTCCCATCTGGATGCTAGCTGGTCCCATGAGCTTAAGGAGCTGCTAAACACGCTGTATATTAAGAAGGATGTCCAAGGAAACAAAATCAGGAAATCTAAAGAAAGGTGTTAAATGGGACTGGAGATGCAGAGATTTTTTTGATTTTGGTATCAGCTGTTCTGGGTGCTCACTTCTCACTGCCACAGTGGCAGGACCTGCAGGGTCCACAGACAGTGGAGGTATGTAAAAATGTAGAAGCATGACAGACTTTTCACAGGGACAGCTGAATCTGCAGTTTGGTCTCCATCCATGCTGAGACTGTAGGTCTTCCTGGCCTTTCTTGCAGAAAAGATGCAAGCCTCAAACCTAAGAACAAACCCCAGGGTCTGAGGCCTTCAACTGCAGGACCATGATGCATTTTGCAGCACAAGATCCTTTCTGAGGGAAACAACACTCATTCTCCCAAGTAAGAAGTCACATGTTGGGAAAACACTGCAGAAATAATATCTGAAGAGTCTGATGGAGCCTGGGTTGTT